CCTAGCTCTACCCCACTTTCGCTGCACACAAGATAGATTGCACCTCCTGATTGACTGATGTTGAAGTATACATGAGGGTTGCTGTTTGAGTGTGGTGTTGGTGGGGATCTGGCAAGTAAATTAAGAATAAAAATATAGGCCTTGTTGAATGAGTGGGGAATAACAAAGGAGAAATAAAATAACTCATGTAAACAGTTGGCAGGAAATGAGGTAAAACATTGGTTCACAGAATGGCAGCTGATTTTTCAGCAGAAACTTCAGGCCAGAAGGGAGTGAAATGGAAAAGCCTACAACCAAGAATACTTTACCCACAAGACTCTCCTTCAGATCTGATGGAGAATCGAAAGCTTTTATAGACAAATAACAGGTAGAAAAATTCAGCACCACCAAACCAGCTTTGCAAAAAACGTTCAAGGAACTTCTCTAACTGAAAAAGAAAAGGCCGCAACTAGAAACAAACTAAGAGATGAAAAAGCTCACAGGTAAAAGATTAAGGAAATCACCCACACACAAAGCTAGAAAGGAGATTAAAAGACAAAAGGAGTAAAATCACCTGTGTCCACAGTATGCAGTTAAATGATACACAGAGCAATTAGATGTAAAATATGTTAGCAAAATGTAACCGAGAGGGAAGGAGAGTATAAATGGCAGGGTATTTAAAATGTGTTTGATATTGAAAGATCAGTGTATAGACTACTATACCAAAACCTCAGAGTAATTGCAAACCCCAGAAATGTATAATAGATATAAACAAGAAGTAATCCAAAAAAGTACTGAAGATAGTCAACAAATCACAGAAGAGAACAAAAGAAAAAAGAGACCAAAGGAGGAAAGGCTGGAAGAGACAGTCTGGAACTGGAGATGAACAGATATAGATGACTATATCTAAAGTAGATGACAAGGACCTACTGGATGGCAGAGGGAACTGTATTCAGTATCTTATAATAACCTGTAATGGGAAAGGATCTGAAAAAGAACATGATATAGATACATTCTTTTATATCTTTTCTATATAACAATCATTTTTGTTGTACAAGGGTTTACAACTATAAATCAGCTATACTTCAATTAAAAATAAAAATAAAGACTTAAAAACATAAAAAAGAACACTGTACTTTTGCAGTGAAGGCAGTATATATCAGTTCAGTATTTATTACTAAAGGAAAGGGCCTGACTTTTTAATTCTTTGACTTTTCAGCAGTTTCTCTCTTTTTGTTAACTTTAGAATTCAGATCCTCTTCATTGCTGGAACAGAGCTAAATTCTTTTAGGAAAAAAGTTATTTAGGTTAAAATACAAAATAATTATTTTGAAAGTCGTTTTTGCAAAATGCAGGTTTAGTTAGAAAAGAATAAGAGAACTAAAAGGGACTTAACTGCAGTGGCCTTGCCTGTTGATGGGCTATCAAGTTAGGCTACCCAAGCTCTTGACTGTCCCTGATGCATGCATCCTGCTGTGTCCATGTTTGTGTTTTCCCTTTCATACTTAGGGTAATTTTTTTTTTAACTAAGAATAAAAAAGATATTTCTTTGCCCCCAACTTCAGCTTCATTGAGGTGAAACTGGCACATAAAATTGTATATATTTACAGAGTATGGTGGGATGATTTAACATAAGTATTCTTTGTGAAATGGTTACTAACAATCAGGTTAATTAATATATTCCTCACTACACATCATACTTTTTCTCTCTCCTTTTTGGTGATGAGAACATAAGGTCTACTCTCAGCAGATATCAGGTGTACGCAGTATTATTGATTCTAGTCAGCATTTCTACATCAGATCTCCAGAGCATATTCATTTTATAACTGAAGGCTTCTACCCTTTGACCAGCATCTTCCCATGTCCCCCTGCCCAGCACCCCAGTCCCTGGTCAGCATCACTCTTACTGTTTCTGTGAGTTCATCTTTTTTTTTTTTAAAGGTCCACATGTAAGTGAGATTATGTAGTATTTGTCTGACTAATTTTTTTACTCAATGGTAAAGATTCCACCTGCAATGCTGAAGACTTGGGTTCAGTCCCTGCGTTGGGAAGATCCCCTGGAAAAGGAAATGACAACCCACTCCAGTATTCTTGCCTGGAGAATCCCATGGACAGAGGAGTCTGGCAGACTACAGTTCATGGGTTCACAAAAGTGTCGAACGCAACTTAGTGACCATAAACAACAACAGTGTTCTCTAGCCTTGCCCAGGTTGTTGCAAATGACAGAATTTCCTTCATTCTCGTGGCTGAGTACTCCATTGTACATATGTACCACATCTTTATCCATTCATTTGTTGGCAGAGACTTAGGTTGTTTCCATGACTTGGCTATTGTGAACAACACTGCGATGAACATGGGAGTGCAGCAATCGTCTCCAGATACTGATTTTGTTTTGAGGTCAGTGTTAGGTATTTGTTCTGACCCCAGGAGGGCATTGTTTTATTGCCTGTTTCTTTCCTCCGATAAAGTCTTTGAGTCAGGACTGGGGAACTATGGATGGAGACAGTGGCAGGCTTTTCTCTAAGTGCTCCCCCTGCTATAGGACCTGAGCTCTAGTGAAGGGGAGGGGTGCAGCGTCCTGTGTTCCTCTCTTGTAGAAGAAAATTTTTGGTTACTACTTTTGTTCCTAATTGAGGAAAGCTTGATTTTTACTGTTTGTGAAGGATAGTCAGTCTTCTCACAGGATTACTGAGAGGATGAAATGAGTTCTTTTTTTAATGCTTGGTGTATCAATGGACATTCAGTAAAGGGCAGCTCTTGTTTATGTTTACCAGTTTTTTGTATGCAGTGTCACCAGTTGGTAGAGGGTTTAATTGCCACAGATCCTTTGAATCAAAGGATTAAGATAAATCTTAACTGAAGAACAGCCTGTGTGGTTGCTAGAAACTTGAAATTAGGATGGGCAGTAATGATCACTAAAGGCACATGAGACTTCTCAGGACATGTAGCCTCAAGAGGAGCAGAGTGCATGTGCATGTTTGAACAGCATCTGAATCTATCGTGCTAACCTTGGAGTACTTTAGGTGTTATTTATTAAAGAATGATTTAGTATAAACAGAGGGACAGGTGGGGGCTTCCCTGGTTGCTCAGTGGTAAAGAATCTGCCTGCTACGCAGGAGACGTAGGAGCCATGGGTTCTATCCCTGGGTGAGGAAGATCTGGAGGAGGGCAGGGCAACCCACTCCATTTCTTGCTGGGAAATCCCATGGACAGGAGATTGCCATGGGGTCGCAAAGAGTCAGGCAACTGAGCATGCACGCAGATGGGACAGATGGAGGTCTGTGTTTGCCCCCGCCCCCACCGGAGTATTCTGAGGAAGTGTGCTAAGTGTGGAGATGTGTATGGACTGAAAAGTGTGTATCTAGAATGAACACCTTGCTGCTCTTCTGTGAGCCACTCGGAGCTGCTGTCCTGAAACCTACCTGCTGTGCCAGGGTGTCACTGGCAAAGGGGAAAGGGAAACAGGAAAGTCTTAACCTTGAGGTTTCAGATCCCTGTTAAACTCCCTTACTCAACCTTGACCTTCATGATGGATTAAAAGTGCAAGGACAGGCAGACACGGCGAGAATCAACACCTCTTGTGTGTCCACAGTTGTCCCACAACATGCCCGGCTTTCAGCCTCGTTGGCTTTGTCTACCAGGGTGCCCACTTCCCCAGTGTGCCTCAGAAACCCCCTTTTCCCCCATTGCTTTAGAGCGGTTGGGATGTAGTAAATTCTGACAGACTCCTTTCCCCAGGCATATTCATGGCTGCTCTTTAAAGGAGGGGACTCTAATACAGAGAAGCTTCCCTGATTTCATTTTTAGACAAAACCTATAGAGAAGTGGCTCATGTATTAGTATCCTTTGGGGGAGATTTTACAAAATTCAAGAGCTCTGGACCTGCTTCCGGAGTTTCTCATTTAACTGATGGTTGATGAGGCTGGTGTTCTTTTGAGAATTATGAGTTTCTCCAAAAATTTCCTAGGAGATTCTGTCAGAGTTGAGAAACAAAAAGGGGCTCCTCGTGGATAGGCCTTCCACCCCAGATGAAAGCTTCTCACTCACCTGCTCTGTCTTGGTGAGCTTACCCTTGGTCAGAGGGAGGAAAAGTTTCAAGTCTTTATGGAGGAAATAACAGTCAACTTTTTGATTCCCCTCTTAACACCCTGCCTCTCCTAGGTGATGGAGTAAAGAATGTTCCTCTCTCCTGGTTGAAGTCTGAAAACTTCAGTTATTAATAAAAGATATTTCCACTGCAGAGAATGGCCTGTTCCCCCTAAGCCAAACATGATCTTTATAGGTTTCTAGTCTGATGCCTTAGGCTGCTGTTTGCAGGCTTTCCTAACTTTTTTTTTTTTTCTTCCCTTTTGTGCCATTGAGATCCTTTGGTGATCCTGTGAAGCCTTGGACCCCTTCTCAAGTTAAATATTTTAAGTGTAGAAAATAAAATGCATAACATTACAATAAAAAAAGTTATAGTGAAATAGTTATTGAAGTAATAAAACTTGTAGAGTAATACATGCTTCTCTACTGATAGATTAAGTAACACTAGCAGTTCGTCTAATAATTTCAAAGTAGTGATAAATGTGAAAAACTATGATGTAATAATGAAGCATCTGGTTTCTATTTTTGATAAACTCAAAGATACTGATAATACTCCTGTGGCTTTTTTTTGCCAATATTTATAGTCAAAAACAGTGCTAAATTTTAGTTTAAGCTTGTGGAAATAAATATATACTTTTTCTTATCCTTGCCCCAGTATACCTGAGAACCCTATATGCTTCAGTTAAATATTGATATATGTTAGTCTTCTTTTTACAGGTGTGAGGCAGCAACTTAAGATTGTAGTTTTTCCTAAGAATGAGTTTCCCTACTTGAGAATTTCCCAAATCCCTCTCTTGATCCTAAGGCTCACATAATCTTGTTTTTCAGCATAAACTGAGTGCTTTATCATATTTTCTGCAGAGCATTAGCTGGATAAGCTAGATGGCTCTTCTCTGAACTCCCACAGTGCTAATGAGAGTGGTTTGATGTTACAGGAATACAAGCGCAAGTTAGCCAGAGTTTCCCTGGTGCGCAAAGAACTCAGGTCCCGGATCCAGAGCCTGCCGGACTTATCTCGATTACCCAATGTCACTGGCAGCCACATGCACCTGCCCTTTGCGGGGGACATCTACAGTGAAGATTGATGACCAGTCTCTTTCCAGGGCCCAGGACTTTGCAAGAGATGGAGACAGGTTAGGTGGATAGTGCTGTAGTGTTATTTTTGTATATTGTTGAGAGAGTGACATTAACAAAAAGAAATGACAAGTAATTTATAAAATTGTTTAAAATGTTGGTTTGTTTACTATTTTATTGGTAAGTTAACATGACTTAGTTTAAAAGTGAATCTCTATGTGTATTAAGCTCACAAGTAGTGATTATTTTCAGATCTTTTTTGTAAATTTTTTTGATCCAGGGCCTTGTGAGAAATTCCATGTTTCTATTTCTTCATGTATTTTCAAATGTTTTTCTTTATTTTCTTCAGTATCTAATCAGTGAATAGTATGTGATTCCTAAAGGGTAAGAACTAATCAGGTTGGTTGAGACTTTATTATGGTATAGTTAGGACTTGATTGTAGAAGGGACTAGGTGTTCCAACTTGATTTTCACCCTTCTCCTCAACCAAAACATCAGTTCTGTGCCTCTCAACACCTTAGATTCCTTATTCCCCAGGGGTTGGTCATTTTATACTAAACATGGATGTTGTTTTGAGGGTCAGATCAGAACCTAGAGAACTTTCCCACAACAGGGGTTCCATCCCAACAGCCACAGTGTAGGATAAAAGGAGTGTTATATAGGGACCCCTTGATTAAAAGCTGTTTAGAGTTATTTAGGTAGATAGCTATGAAAATGCTTTTGGAAATGTTAAAAGAAAAATTGACATTGTACTAAGAGAACAACTCTGATTCTGGAATCTCTGTTTGTCAAATCAAGCTCCTGTTAACATAATTGATCCCTTTAACATAAAAAGCCATCTGTGGGATTAAAAGAAGAGTAGAATAATGGTACCTTAATATTCTCTTAGCCATTTAACTTTAAAAAACAGTAGTATTTTTAGCTCTAATATCTCATGAACTCAATATTCATTAATGTTTAGTAAAGTAGCCTGGAACATTTTTAATGTTTCCTTAAGGTTTTTGAATTACGTATATTTGGGAATTAAGCAGTCCTACACTACAGGGTAGATATGGTAAATATTATATTTGTATATTTAGAATTACCAAAACAAATGTACTTTTACCTTTTATTTCTAACCCTGTGTTAGAGCAATTGCATGCTCTCCTGCTTTCTCTTTAAATCACACTGTTAAGCTGTGGATTTTGTACTCAGTGATTACTTAGGATAAACTTTTTTTTTCGTTCATTACATATTAGACATTTTTATTTTTGATGTAAGAAGATTCATCTTAGTCAATAAAACAGCTTTTTAAATCCCACAGGTCAGTTATGTCTCACTAGTCTGAATGGCTTCACTCTTTCTCAGTATTAGAAATTATAGTTAAAGTGAATTTACTATATGTGAAGGAGAAAGCCAATATTTAATTTTAGCAGCCAGTAGTTTTCAGAACGGTGCTTTTAACGGTTTGGCCTCTCCAAAACTGACACACATAGTAGTAGTTCCCATCCATACATGGCTTATATTCCAAAGGTTTTTAGTCAACTTTTGGGACTCGGGGCACATTTTCCCACAGGAACAGTAGTAATTAGGTTCCCTGTGAACACTCCCACAGAGAGCTCACCCAGGAACCGAATCCACTTAACCATGAATGTACTGAACTTGTAATGTGGTTGACAGATTACGAGTAGTAGATCCTGACCAGCATTTGTAACATCACTCTGCACTAAGGAAATGGTGTGAAGCAGCATTACACATTGGGGTGTCTCTCTGTCTTGTGTACCTCTGTCCCTAGCTGTAGGATATGTAAGAAAAAGATTCAGTGTGGGGGTGGAGGGTGTGACAAATTCACGATTATTAAAACCTGGTTATACCTGTTACAAAAGTATGCCACTTTGTTAAAGTGAAAGCAAAAACTTGTGTATTAACTTATTTTTTAGCATCTTGACCTTATTTATGATCTACTAAAGTGGTGACTTACTCAAAATAAATTTTTTTTCCATTTAATACTAATTTATAAACTATGTACTCCTGGGAAGATTTGAAACCTACTAGAAGTTTGTTGAAATATTTAAGAAAGACTTCTGACTTAGATACTGATTTTAATGCCAGTATCTGCTCTAAATATTTATGATAAAAATGCATTATTTTTTTAAAGAGCTTGATGCAATTTGTGGTAAGTAATAGTACTCAACCTGAATCCTACCCCCAGTTTCACCCTTTGACCAAGTCTTTACAAGCCTTCAGTTGTTGGTTAATCCACTGACCATAAATCCACTGGTTTAGAAGTCTTGATAGTTAATGTGGTAAGCCTTAGCAGTAAATAGCCTTCCTTTCTAAAAGGGGGATGAAAGTTTCTCAAGAAACTTTAGCTGGGTTAGCTGGGGGTTCTCTAATACCAAATTCTAAATCATGAACATTTTCTTAACTGTGTATGTGAGGCAAATCATGCATTTTGAGTGCAGCTTGGCCTGGCCCCTCAAGAGAAAAGCATGTCACCATACTTGCAGTAGGCATATTTGGTTTGAATGGATACCATCACTCTTTTCTCCACAAACAGTGCAGAGAGCTGTCTGGAGTGGCAATTTGAACAGATTCCCTGGTGTTCCCTCTGCTCCTTCTGTCAATACAGTAAGTAAAAGAACCACATGGGGGAGCCTGGGAGTCTGGGAAAATCAGCTGTGCTCAATAGCCAACCTCCCCTTCTAGGAAAACCAGTCCAGGTGCAGCTATTTTGGTACCTCATCTCACATGCACTCTGAATCAGGGTTTTTCTATAAGAACTCTTTCAGGATCAGCAAAAGCTGAGATGACCTGGTCATCTTGATTTGCAAAATTAAAATAAAACCAGGTTGTCAGTTGTCATTGTAGATGAGCAACTCATCTATTATTATTGAACTGGTTCTGAGAAATCTTCAGAAAGCTCTCAAAAGTACAAATTAATTAGGAAAGTTAGAATGTCTTTTCTGAATTTTCCATTCAAAAAATTTATATTAAATAACATAAAGCTACTTAACCACTTTGTATTCTATTAAGAAGAAGCTTCTAAGTGGCAGTCTTAGTTGTTGCACTATATCACAGCTTTTTAAAGTGTAAAATCAGTTCTTCTCTGTATAGGAAGGGAGCATTGTGTTACTTACTGAATTTATTTATGCAGAGCATTTGTTGCCATCTGTAATTCCAGCCATCTACACATGAGTCTGTTCTGAGGTGGCAGTAGCACATGGGAGGATGAAGTCTCCCTATTTCTTTACCCCCTTTTCTTTGGTTGTATCTGATGACAGTATAAAATGTTCTTAATAAAGTTTTACGTTCTTTTTGAGATGTGCAGATCATTTTTGTGTATTTGCTCAGGTGGATATGGGGTGAGGAGGGGAGATGAGGATGGGCCGGGAGGGAGGGAAAGTGCTCTAAGTATTCAGCAGTGGAGTGGTGGAGAAACTGCCGAAGGAAATCGAGTTGCTTGGTCAGTGGGAACCAAACTTGAGCGAACATCAGTAGCACCTGGAGGACTTAGTAAACTATAGATCGTGGGGCTCCACCCCCAGGGGTTCTGGGGTAAGGCCTGATTACATTCCTAACAATTTGATGCTGATGCCACTGAGTCTGAAACCCACTGCTCTAGACTAGCTTTAAAGTCTGTGACTTGCTTGACGACTTAAAATTCCAGGTAACTCCAGGCAATTCCAAGTAATAATAAGAGTATGGGCTTTACAGTTCATCATGTAGCAAGTTCTTGGGGCAGAGAATGAAACTGCATCTTCTTTTATGACCTGCTGCACAGTCTTAAGTGCCTTTGAATCAACAGATTCACTTATAGTACCTTGAACTCCCTGGAGTACAGGTCCTCTCGCGACATTTAAAGCAGAACTGGAAAATACTAGAAATCTAATGAATCTCTAGGGCACTGTTTGCTAAACTCCTTTCATAAGTCTCTCTTGGGACATTTGCGGGAAGGACACATACCTCCTGGATCAGAATTCTCTGTGATTTTACCATCTAGAAAGTTTGGGAGAGCTAGTCCTTAGGCCAGTGCCCCTGGCTCCCACCCTTGGATGGCCTCTGGTCACTTTATCTGAATTCGGGGGCTTCCCATTGCCATTTGACTATTTCCGCCTCGCGGCAGTGGGTTTTATATAGGGCAGTCTCTATCCAGAGATTCTGTTTTGGAAGATTTGGGATAGACCTGGAAACAAGCATTTTAAATGAGCTACCTGATGATTCTGATGCAGGTAATTCTTGACTGCACTTTGAGGAACAGTGCCCTACTGAGAAAATTATGCTCTATAACATACTGATGGTAGGTCTCATGTAAATGTTACTTACTGTGCACCAGGGCTGCTGTAAGCAGGTCACATAACTTTGTGATAGATGGCTCTGATTATTCCAGTTTTACCTATGGAGAAGCTAAACTGAGTCCAAGTTGCTCAGTCGTGTCTGACTCTTAGAACCCTATGGACTATACAGTCCATGGAATTTCTCTCCAGGCCAGAATACTGGAGTGGGTAGCTGTTCCCTTCTCCAGGAGATCTTCCCAACCCAGAGATCGAACCCAGGTCTCCTGCATTGCAGGCGCCTTCTTTACCAGTTGAGTCACAAGGGAAGCCCAAGAATACTGGAGTACATAGCCTGTCCCTTCTGTAGTGGATCTTCCTGACTCAGGAATTGCATCGGGGTCTCCTGCATTGCAGGCGGATTCTTTACCAGCTGAGCTACCAAGGAAGCCCATGGAGAAGCTAAGATACAGACCCTGAACAGGTCAAGTGGTGAAGCCGGGATTCAGACCCAGCTCCAAGTTTGACTAGGAGCTTATGCTTCTGAACCACCACACAATGCCGCCTGTACGTTGATATGTTGTGTAGCAGCTCCACCATCACCATATCACATTTTGCATAATGTGAAGTTATAACATAATGCGAACATTCAAATTAAAAAGTAACAACTGGAAGCATTGGGAAGAATGGGGGCTTATGAAAAGCTATGATACCCAGTTGTATTTTGTGTTGTTTTCATTGAGGTCAAATATAACATAAAATTCAACTATTTTAAAGTGTACTCCGGCCGTAATTACATTGATAAGTAACATTATTGTGCAGCCATCACCACCACCTACTTTAAAACATCTTCAAAGTCTTCTGCATTTAAAACTCTACCCGTTAAACTAGAACTCAGTCCTTGCAGCCATTTTGCTTTCTGTCTCTATGAATTTGACTTCTCCAGGCATCTCATATAAGTGGAGTTATAAAATATTCATTCTTTTGTGCCTGGCTTATTAAATTTAGCATAATCCACTTTAGGTTCATTCATGTTGTATCATGTGTCAGAATTTCCTTTCTTCTTAAGGCTCAATAATATTCCATTGTATGGATATACCAAATTTTGTTTATCCATTCATTTGTCAATGGACCTTGTGCTTCCACCTTAGGTATTTATTATTTATTTTTTATCTTTTGGCTGTGCTACACAGCATGTGAGATTGCTTCTGCCTTTTGAGTCTTGTCAATAATACAGCTGTAAGCATGAGTGTGCAAAATATCTGTGCAAGTCCCTGCTTTGATTTCCAATTGCTTTTTTCAAAGCAATTGTTTCCATATCAGCACAGTAGAGTTAGTATGAGCTATTGGTAGGGATGGTCTGAGACGACATTTCAGTGAACTCCTGCTGTGTTTAAGGTGTGGTGTTAAATCTTTTGAGATATACAGAGATTATTCAACTGCATGGCTGCTCTCAAAAGGTTTACAGTCTAATGGGAATGGAGTATGGTAACACTTTAGAGTTGACCAAAGCGTGCTTTTGTTTTTAAACTACCATATTTCTTCCAAGCCAGTGGTTCCATAGGCCAGCAATATTAGCCTCAGCTGGGAACTTCTTTAGAGTGCTGAAGTCTCAGGCTCCAGACCTACTGAATTGGAAACTCTGAGGTTGCAGACCAGCAGTATCTTTTACACAGGCCCTTTGGGTAGTCCTGATGCACACTAAAGTTCCAGGGTTGTTTTGTGTACCACTGTTCTAGGCAGTCGACCGCTTACCTCAACACTTTATTGTCAAGTATGGAAAAGCTTTGGAGGGAATAAAAGGACTTGGTGCGACAAAAGCAATTGTAAAAAAGTATGCTTTTCTGACAAGCCAAGAAATGCTTTTCGTCTGCATTATTTCTACAGTTAGGAAGCCTCCTGTCTCCACCCTGGCAAATCTGTCCATATTTTCTTGTTTCATTTCTCTGTCCAGTATATCTCTTGTCCTTCTTCTGAGGATGGTAGAGTGAAGGAGAAACAGTAATGCTGTCTGGGGTCTGACCACCATCTGCCTTATCAAAAGGCTGATTAGCCCTCTGTATGTTTATACCACCACAGGTTTAGCCATTTTAGTTACTGAAATCCCTGTGATTTTATTTTCAACTTGCTGGATGCCATCAAAGATGAAAAACTGTGTTTTCCTCCCCCCGCCCCTTTTTCTGGGCTGCGTGGGGTGTCTCTGTTGCGGCACACAGGCTCTAGAGTGCACCAACTCAGAAGCTGTGGCTCGTGGGCTTAGTTGCCCTGCAGTATGTGGGGTCTTAGCTTCCCAACCAGGGATCCAACCTGCATCTCCTGCATTGCAGTGCAGATTCTTAACCACTGGATCACCAGGGAAGTCCCTTTGTTGCCCTTTTTATAAATGGATCACTGATTAAAATGGAATGACTGAAGTGAATTTTGAAAGTAACGTATTTCACATTTGAATTCTCTGCATCATGGAAAAGATACAAAATTGTAATTTTGATTTAAGGGAAATTGCTATGCAGAGCCATTGGCTTAATATTCAGATATATTTAGAAAAATTCAGTTGCATTGTTTAGATTTATCATCTTAAAGTCATATTGCAAATATACAAAGAAATATTTTTGTTTTAAATAAAACTTGTGTTTACTTATGGAAATACAAGTTAAACAAATTTTAAGAAGTTTAAATCATATATTAATACATGGCCTTTTTCGAAATACCACATTTGTATTTAGTGTCTCCTTTTTCCAGCTCTTGATATTTATGTTGTAAAATCTTCTAGTACTTTTATGGGGTCTGAGCTCACAATGCTGTTTGATTGTTAAGGTATTTGTATAATTTGGTGATAAACTGCCATAAGGTGGTTGTGGTTTTGTGATTTGAGCTGTTAGACTGCAGCTGGAGTGTGCTTAAGTGAGGGAAATTTAGTTTCCATTGTTCTTTTGAGTTGGTGTTTGAGCTTCCCAGATGGCGCTCGTGGTAAAGAACCCGCCTGGCAATGCAGGACATGTAAGAGACGAGGGTTCGCTCCCTGGGTCAGGAAGATCCCCTGGAGGAGAGCATGGCAACCCACTCCAGTATTCTTGCCTGGAGCATTCTGTGGGCAGAGAAACCTGGCAGGCTACAGTCCACGGGGGCTGCAGAGAGTCAGACAGGACTGAGCAAGTACCACTTTCACTTTGAGCTCTGCAGCACTTCAGGCATGCTTCATGTCCAGTTCCTTTTAGCTTTATCAGCGTGTGGCACCCTAGCCTAGTCATTAGCCTCAGCATTCTCCCTGTTAGAATTGCTAGTCTTTCCCTGTCTTAGAAAGCATGAGGAGAAAGACTAACTTCTTTCTAGTTATTTTTTCTTTTTTGCTTTTATGTCCATTGATGAACCCAGCAGTTACAATTATGATAAAGTTCTATATAAGTGGCATAAAGCTCTTTTTCTAGTTGGGTGTAATTTTCCCACCAGGGGCCAATAAAAATTGAACTGCTAATGATGGAGCCAACTGATTGGTTCAAATATAATTTTTTCTTACCCAGGTTTTGTAACATGGCTTAGATCTTTTTATTAAGGTGTGTGTTTTTCAAAACAAATGACTTAGAAATAATATACAGAAAACTTAATTATTTTAATATAGAGGAAGTGTTTTCTAAGTGTTTTTTAAAAAGCTCCATATTATTAATTTAAAAATCCTTGTAGTTATATAATGTAACACTTGGTTACATTGGTAACCAACAGTTGGTAATTCAAATAACCCAGGGCAATAGGTAAGCAATTTTATTTTCAGATGTTATATAATCATAGTCATATGTGAATTTAAATATTCACTAGATATATATTTTGTAGCTTAATAATTACCTTTGAATACTTTAATTAGGTTAGATACAATGAAGAGATTCCCCAAGTGCTTGTTTCCTGTCATTTCAGAAATTCTAAATAGTTGCTTTCACTATAAAAAGTTTAAGAGTCAGAGTTAAGCATCATTTGGTTAAAATATTCAGTTCAGTCACTCAGTCGTGTCTGACTCTTTGCAATCCCATGAACCCCAGCACGCCAGGCCTCCCTGTCT